GCTTTAAGTGATATATCTCGCAAGGCTGCAGGCGGTATATTATCCGGGACATTAAAAACAACTGCATTTCTAGAACGATGCATCCTAGAGACTACTTCTGCTGCGATGGAATCGATAAGAGAACCTGCGGGTAACATATGCTCTACTTTGGGACTCAACGTCTTTTGCATTAGGGCAGTTATAGGTTCCAGTTCACGGAGGACAGTCAGAGAACTATCCATCGACAACATTTTCACTTTAAGCTGGGTGACTTCATCTTGGATGTTTTGCAAGTTAATAGGCTGAAACGGCAGAGCAGCTGGGCATAATTTTCCTTCTGCTGAATTATAAGGTCTCGCAGTTTTAGAAGTTGTCGGTGCTTTGCGAGTTTTAACAGTCACTTTACGCTTTGGTAATCGACACTTGATGGCAGGTATACTAACAGAACATGAGGCTTTAGTTTCATCATTGCTTACAGATTGGTTATAAGCTGGGAGATTTGCGAGCTTTTTAATGCATTTCTCTCCATTCATTGTACTAATGGTGGAGCTTCTCGTTTTAACGTTGCTAACGAGCATCTTGTGATTAGCCGCTGGAGTTCAGGGCTTGTGATCTCAGTTAAGGTAAACCGGTTATTAGACTGGACTAAAATGGTTACTGTGTCACAAGGTCGATACAAACCAACCAGGTCGGTAATCACAAAGTGTTCCAAGGCGTTCTTTGTTAGTCAGTCGTCCTGTGCACACGTCCACTCTGTGCCGTGTCCCGACGCGTCAATCCGTCGGTTTTGGTGGGCGCACACGTACAGTTCAATCCGACAAAGGGTGCGGCGATTGACCGGTAGGATAGGTCCGCACGGAAGTTTGACTTGGGTGATAGTCCACGGGTTCGCTATGTCGTTTGGCGAAAGCAGGGAGAAGATGCAAGTGTTGGTAGCCGCTTTACAAAACTACCGATTTGGCTGGAATCGGTTTTGATGGATGGGCCTCGTGATATGCTTTCCAGTGATTATTCGAACCGCGATCGAAGTAACAAAAGCGTTGATTTTGTCCACTTCCGTTTACACCTGATCGCAGCAGAAATTGGGAATCAGCAGTAGGCGATTATCCGTTAGGAATACAGTCCAGAAAATTTGCGCACTGTGTACGCCCGATCAAGCCTGATCGAATGAGTGTACTCGGGTGAATATGCGATAAGAACTGGATTCAAGAACGACGAAAAGGTAGGAGCAGCGAATTCCGGCCGGCCGGCTGGTAGATGCACATGTGCACATGTCCCGGTATATCCCGTACGACGTTATTGATTAGCCTTTGGAAAATCCCCGGGGCAGTTAATTCAAAATGGGGGTCTAGTGTATTCAAATAAACACAAAGGTGTATTAATCGTAGTAAACGGGAGGTGAATCGTCGTCCGAATCCACCTAAGAATAAGCGTGACTTAAATCAAGTTTGGTGAATTTGACACCAACAGATAAAGTGGTATATAAATCTTCAATTCTTGATAAGGAATAACGGTCCATGATAGTGCAGCGATTCATTATTAGTTTGTACCGATCATCTATTTCTAATCCGTTTAGAAGTAGGAAAAACGCCAACACCGGTTGGCACGTGTGAAACTAATCTACTCCTAACTGCATCCAAGTGGAAACATATAGGACTAAAGGAACCGATGAGAAACACTGACCAGTCAGCGAATGCACTAGTCATGTGATTGGGCGCGTGAAGTTAGTGGGTGTGGCATGACGCATCGGTTGTGGATGTCTCAATAGACGCGGTTCAGGAATAGGCACTGTTCTGCTCCACAAAACTTCTATCACAACCGAAGGGAAAAAGAGAACGCCAATGACCTCGACAAAATAACCTGTTAACCGCCTTCAACAAAACCCTGTACAAATGCAACGGACCTTAGCTGTATTTATAGGTCTCTTACTGAGCTTCGACTTCTGGAATAGGATGGCAAACTGCCAAGGTTAATCGTCCCCGATAGTTTTGGCCGATCATCAGGAGGTTGTTAGTCACCTGCAGGCAGTGGAATATTCAGGAACTTTCGAAATCGATGCGATAATCGATATCAATCGATTAACCGCTGCAACAATGGATTTTCCGGGGAATTCTTATCTTCTCCCAGACAATCGTCTACTTAAAACGTACAAGCCTGACATCCCCCTACGATCAGTCTTAGATATGAAGAACTCACCGTACCAGTCTACTGCGCGGTGTTTGGTCGAGTTTCTAGAACCTATTTGAAAACCAGGTGCTGTGTATAGTTTTGATTTCGTGGATACTGTGCGCGATATAAATGTCCAGCATCTGACCACGTGCTCTCTCGATGTGACTTCTTACAACAGTGCTGTTATTTGACACAATAAATTACACCTGTGATTATATCGAAGAAAACCAGGTAGCTATTGGCATACCTACGGGGGCCCTAAAGGAAATGCTGCTTCGGTGCACTTTCAACATCCAGTTTGTAATGTACCTGAAAGCAAGTTCTTTCAATAATTTACAACATTGGATTTTACAGTTGTTTAACATTCAAAACGTCCATTCGTTTTACTGACGATTCAGCGTCTAGGTGCTTACACCTTAACAATAACACACAGTCACAAACAACTGACTATCGTGCATAGGTAAGGCGGCATCAGCGAGACAGCTGCCTTGTGACTTTCACTGCTTCGCGCTAGAATCACCCATTACGTCGCAGATAATTCAGCATCAGACACACATTGAAAAGACAGTTCGAATGGGAGACGACGGCAAATGCACCAATGAGGCTGACTGCGAGACATGTCCTGTAAAATCGTGAGCCAAGTACAAGGCGGGTCACGTAGACTTCATCCCGGAAAGCGAGGCGGACCGACGGCACCCAGTTTGGTCGTCTTTGAGTTCATTTCCCGCTACCAAGTCAATTTTCGCCCACGTTGAGTCTTGTGTCACTCTACATATAGCAAACAAAACAAGTCCCTCCCCGGTAAGCAGTGACCGGGCATACGTAGTACGTGCCAAAGACAACGCAACTTATTCACTGCTACCTGCAGTTGTGAAGAACTAGCCCGATATTGCCGGTCTAACAACCATATACGCACATCATGATTGCGGACCCGCCGGTACCACTAAACCCCACCAATGCTCCAGAGGCAGTGATGGTCTAAAACTTGAAGGCGCCTCTGATCCTCAGATCGAAGGGGCCAAATCTCACACCCACAGAGTAGGACTGTCCTCACTGTGGCCTAGTAAACACGGCCTTTCAGACGGAGGGAAATCCCTTGCTGACACCACAAAGGTCGCAGATTCAAGAAGACAATACTAATTTTTGCAACAAGTGAGTTGACTTCAGTGGTTATGCACCCATCGTTGCGGATGCAGCTGCCAATGTAGGTGAACTGATCAACTATCCAGTTTCCCGCTTTGATAGCGAGGTCAAGGAGTCATCAAGTGGCTGGTGATGTGAAGCGCATGCAAAACGATGGGACCACACTAGAGAGGTTATTCAGGGTTAATTGCGCAGCCACAACTTCGTTAAACAACAAGCCAACTAAATCAAGATCAACTAGTTTTTCACCAGACAGCATTTCGACGCATGCATCGTGGGATTTCGCAAGGGAACACTGATGGGGTCCAGGACGAAAATTAGCAAAAATGGGGTAATTGGACTACAGTGACGAACGTCACTTGGTGTCGGAAAGATTTCCGACAGGTCACCGTAAATCCAGACGCCGCCTGTAGTGTTCGAGTACATGGCACGGAAAATGTTCACATATTTCATGGAAACACCTTTCCGCACAAGTGTCGCGTATAGAATAGATTGACTGAGTTGAAGGCATTCTTGAGATAGAGAAAAACAGCTATTGTCGGTCTGCCGTATTTGTGGCGCCGTTCTAGCACCTATCGCAGAGTGAATATATGGTCTATACAGCCCCGTCTTGGGCGGAAATCTGCCTGCTCTTCTCTACTCCGGGATTCCCGCTCTGAAATGAGACGACGAATGAGAATCGAGGCCAGCAATTTTGTCACAACTGGCGTTAGGCCAATGCCCCTGTGAGTAGCAGAGGGTGGGAGTGCCTTGCTCGTATACCGCCAGATGGTCTTTTTCACGCAGCCCAGTTCGAACATGGAGGTAAATGCTTTGCACAGGACCTCACCGTCATCCTTAGGTACTGCGTGGGCGAGGGAATCCGGGCCAGCCACACGATAACGATTAAGGGATACGATCAGGTTTCGGATGTCGCCCTCTGATGGAGTCTATAAACTAACCCGCTATGGCTCAGCCTGCACCACCTGAGTAGGAAGAAAACGGAGCTAGCCTCAAAAATGTTCCACGCAGAGTCAGACGGCATTTTTTATTATCGTGAATGGATGTACCAGTGGTCGTTGATTGTTCCACTGACGTATAACTTCCTGGGACCAGTGATACGAATCAGTTGAAAGAGTCTACCGTAATTGCCCACTGCTTCGGCCAAGGAACAGCAGACACTAGATAGAGGAAGTGCGAAGTAAATACAAGAGCAGGCCAGTGGTAAAAACCGACTTCATCAGCAATTCGATGTGGTCAAGAGCACGTATGGTTATACAGGTTGTACATTCTCTAGAACCGGAGTACATATTGTAGGGTTATGTTGAAAAGGCATCAGTAACACGGCAGCACTTCGTACGGGCGCTTCACTACCACGAGACTATCAGCAGCTGCGCGCAGGCGAATGATACTGCGACGCTGTCCGCACCTATGCAAACGCCTCGCCCTTTCTCGACCACCAACCGACAGGTTAATTCTACGCAGGAACACAGCCGCTTCTAGACAACTGCCCACTTAGTTTCGGTATATGCGATACGCTCCGCTTTCTATGCGCAGTGACCAAACACAAACAAGTCCACCAGCATGATACAAGTTCCGCCCTACAATCATTCGACTGCTCCGGATTCGATTTCGTTGGCCATAAGAGAGACCGAACGAACAAACGTCAAAACTAAAAATATACTGGCATTAACTTTTGGGTGCAGCAACAAAATTAAATGTAAACACTATCAAAGAAAACAAAGACTAACCGGTGTTGTTTTTATGCTGTCCGCAAATTCAGTGGAATCGCGTGACTCTGGTGGCATATCTGACAGGCTGAGAAACGAAGTGAGATCGGTCACATCGTAGACACATTCTTCGGTACGTTTTCGTTCTACAACGCGGCGCCTTCGTTCCTGCCTTTCAGACTTTAGCTTCTCCCTAAATTTGTCTTCTGAAAAGTAAGAAATTGGATGCAACACACCCAAGGTGAGTTGGAACAGAAAATGAGACATAAACACCAGCGTTTACTATGATAGACACGCCAAATTTTGTAGTATGAGTGGGTTTCCGCAAATCTGTGGCGTATAACGAAGAGCGAGTAGAATTCCGCAGTAATGCAACTGAATGACGCATCATGGTACACAAAACACGTTAGTACGTAGGTCTCCTCCCCATGCGTACCGCCTACCCAGGTCAAGCGACAAGTCACAATACCTGTAAAACCGGCCCGAATAGCGGTGCTCACAGTCCAACCGGAAACCGATATAAGTATTGGCTACCCGCGCCGTTCGGTTAGTTCGATATAACACTCACGGAAATAGGCAAGTCGAGCAAAAAACTACCAAATCCTTTCAAAGAGAGGAGAGACGTCAGTCTGATTAAAGGTTCAAACTGCCGTGATGCTATGCAATTAAGGTTACTAAAGTAAAAAGTTGGAGGACAGAGAAAAACTCAAGTAAAATAGGCTAGAGTAGCTCAAGTCGTGGAATGCAAAATGGATTGCTTTGTTCGCCAGAATATGGTGCAAGGGACATCAACAAATGGACTATTCACTGCGAACTGAGTCTCCCGCCTGGCTTGTGCAAAAGCATGGAAAAGGTGGTACGAGAAGCCTCTAGAATACAATAGCAGCAGGACTGGGAAAAACAAGCCCGATGTCGTAAGAATCATGAAGGCATAGACCCATAAAACAGTGGGATAGTTGAGGGCTTGTGGAGAACTCATGCGGAGTCCTTGTGTCAACAGTGGTTTAGCTCACAAGGCGGTGGAGGGTATACGCAACCCAGAAATGTACTTGAAAAGGTTCGTTGAAACATGTTCGAGGTCGGCCAAACGCGGTCTAGAAGGATTCAAAAATATGTGTACATGATCCTCCCCAGTAGTAGAGTATACGCATAAGATCCAAGGTCGATTGCAACTGAGTTGTGATGGGTTTGCACAGGCTAGGTTAGTGGCTGCCTTGTTTGAGGCGAACGGCAGCAAATTGGAAAACAGCGATCGTGTTCGCACACAGTCAGACACACTATAGCGCTTTGGCTCTACGCACGTAAACTGCTGTACGTCATGACCAGGCTTTAACAGTGATGAGCCGTCCATCAATCTCTACTCTCCTGGAATGAAGATGGAAGACTGAACTTGTCTGACAATTGGTCTGACAGTTATGGGGGCTCTAGAAACAACAAATTGCTGTTTAGCGCAGCATAATGGATTAAGCTGGTATTGGGAGTGTTTTTAGAATCGGCTCGTGGCAATTGGCAAAGAAGAATTTTCCCATTGCAAACACTCAAATACAACCACAACACCTAGAAACAAGGCAATAAGAGCTTGTACAACATACTTTTAGTACCCTAATTCACTAAGGAATAACGGAGCGAGTGTTGTTTGAGGTCGCCTGCTAAGAATCAAGAAGAATTGCGTCGTATCAATATAAAGAAAGGTGGCTGTCTAGGGGATGATCATAAAGTGGCAATAGGAAAACTGAAAGTAGAGTTGAAAGATTCACAAGATAAGCTGTGGTCTGTCACACAAGTGATTTAGGGGTACAAGTTTCGGTTAACATCCAAAAGTCCCTGGGTTCAAATACCTGCTATCTCTACCTAAACCGGCCGTGGAGCGCAGCGCGTTCGAGCAGATAGAACCCTATGTCCAGCTACCTTGTTTAGTGTTGTAACAATTCTCAGTAGCGCATCTTTTAAATTATCAAGCCAAAAATAATATCGGCTTGTCTGGTAGAGCGTAAGCGCTCTTACTTCCGAAATAAAGAACTAATTGAGCGGAAGGCTGGGTGGATTTACGTGGACTCGGTGCGGAGGCGAATGTAGGGTTAGCCAGGTGGGCCCAAAGAAACATGGGGTCAGAGTGATGATATCATCACCAAACGGATGCTGCGTTGCTGATTCCTGTCCAAGGAAGACAGTGAGATGCTGGGGGAAATAGGACTCATCTATCGGACACAGAGTTCTGGCCAACTAGGAGCATTTGATTATCATGGAACTTTTCGAGAGAAAGTAGTCACAAATTTTGCATCAATCCTGCAGGTATCAGTGAAACAATTGTAGAGAGAAAGTGGATACAAATTCCGCTACTCGATCGTAAAAAAGAAGCAAACAATTAGATCCTCAACCGGAGCAAAGGTCTCACACATCACATGTTCACCGTGCGACGGATGCTATGACGCAGCGTCACGCGTACTGTAAGCCAAATACAACTGTTCCGCGAATTAAGAAAAGGGGTGCGACTCAGTCAGGCAGTCGTACCCTGAAGTGTAGCTATTGAGAAGGGCGACAGTATCATGTGCAAGCATTAAACGCGCCCCATATGTGTGCTCGACTGTGAGGCGATACAGAACTTAGTAGTGTAGGTCAGACAAGTTCAGAAAGCCATATGATCACGCGGCAAACCGTAAAACCTGATGGAGAACAGGTTACAAGGAAGCAATGTGCAATTCAATCCCCACTTATGTTGAAAGTACTCATGCGGCATTCCATCCGAACACTACATAAGACAAACAAGAGGAGAATAAATGCACATAGCGCCTGTAAGAAAATTCTAAGTAAACCAAAATACAACAAGCCTATCATTCGAATAAACTTACAGATTGAATATCAAGTTCACTCACCTGAGTCTATCCGGCAAAGCTGAATATGCTCCAATTTATGACTGACTTTGGATCCCAAGGCGGTAAACACCAGAGGGATACACATTATAAGGGCATAAATAAATTTACATATGGCGAAGGGAAGCAGATCATGCCACTTAGGCCGAGGGACTTTTCGAAGTTCTTCGGCAATTTGTAAGTCGATCAACTCTCTTTTGCGATCGCGAGCCTTCTGTCTCTTCAGGGCAATTCCAAGTTGTTCTTCCTATGAGAATTAGACTGTGCATAAACATTCACTTGCCAGAGTCCAACATCTTTCAAATCGTGAACCCCAGAGCGTGGCATAATGAATTGCGGTGGACAACAGTGCGAACATGACAAACAACTCGGAATTCGACATTTTTCGGAGTTTACGATAGTAGTAGACTGGTGTTCGCCAAGTCGGTAATCCATTCTCTAGTACGTGGTCATAACTAGATGTCAGTAGGTTGCGATGCGGAAGTGAAAGGACTCACCTTTCACGTAGACTTTTATCTTTTAGGACTTCGTAGATGCCAACCAAATTGCGAAATTTCACAGTTGCTTCCGGATCATCGTTCTTATCTGGATGGTATTTGAATGAAAGCTTGCGGTAGGCACGCCTGATATCAGAATCTGAGGCAAACTGATCGGTCGAAAATAGATGGATCAACGACAGAGAGGTACCTTTTCAACACCCAGAAAATCATAAAAGCTCATGCCCAACTCTTCAACCAGATCAAACATCTTGAGTTCATTAGAATCCCAGGCGCCAATAGGAGTCAGAACGAACGTACAAATCACCGTGAATATTAGGGTGACCATGAAAGTGCAAAAAATGAGCACGTTGTAGCCGAAAGCGATGCGGTATTCTAATGGAGATGTGTGGAGTTTGTTGAAGAGAAGGAGGAGGGACCACACCCAAATAACGTGTCACAGGATTTCGTGGGCCTCTGTATCGAATGTGTAAGTAGGTGGGAATAGACCTGGGGGACCGAAATGAAAAAGTGATAATTCGTAAGTGGTTGGATGAAACTACATCGAGCTGAATTAAAGATCCGCGTGGCTAACACCAAGTTGGCGTGAGTGTACTGAATCCGAAGTGTGTGGATGGTGAGAACAAGCACGGCAGATGGCCAGTCTAACAGATCTGCCAGTTCAGATTCTAAGGACAATATAGATTTGCGCCTAAAGAGCGTCCTGTTTGTTGTATTGAGAATCGAGTCAGGAATCCCAATACTTCAAGGTTCGACGGATTTCCTCCGCCTCCGTAGAAAAAGTGAAGCAAGAAGGAAAGCAATCTGTTTACCTTTACGGATCAGTATTATAATTCCCTACACGAGGCCTCCCCGCTTTAAATTCCAATAAATACATAGTAATTCTAGAAAACAATCTGGTCTGCATGTCAGCCTGTGGCTGAAAGGACAAGCCGACTGCCTTACAACCCTGAGATCGCGATTTAGAACTTGAGTAGGAGAACGGGAGACTCTTGCAGTATCTATAGCCCAAGCGCGACTATCGTTGGTTACGTAGTAATGAAGCGTCGGTACTGCGTACCGGCATTCTGCTAGTGCCTTTAGGTCCATGTTGAAGACCAGCATCATAGTACCGCATTCGACTAAATCCGAAGGAAGTTTACTTCATGTGCTTGTGACACGGTCTGATATCCAGCTTAGTCTTCGTTGCCTGAGTTTTACACGATGTCCGTCCTGATGCACTGACATAAGTCGCTCAAACAAAACCGCAGGCCTGATGTCAGTGAGACCCCTTCATAAACTTAAATGTCTTTAACCGATCGCATGTCAACATGTGCCGCTCCAGCGGAAACCATCCTAACCTCCTTAGACGATCATCATACAAGTTCGCGCGTAGCACGAGTGACCAAAAAATGTCCGCAGGAGTTTTATGCCCCACTGTCCCAGCTGGACACATTCGGGAAGAATTGCCGTCACTCAGAAATCTTTTCCAGTGTACCCTTAACATATACTGTAAATGCATTTTTGTTCTGGTTGCAAATACTGTTAAAAATAAGCGAAAATCTATTACAAAAATTTTACGTCCACAACAGTAAAGCCATAAGGCTAAATTGAAAAGTTAAGTGATGGAAATTCGTCAAAAATGTGTCTAATTGGGAAGGCCAGTGGCATAGAAAGTGGTCACTCCGAGCGTCCAAACGGTCACTCGTGCTGACTAAAATTAAGCTAAGCTAAAGAAAGTGTAAGGGCTCATAGGCGACGAAAAGTTGTGTTAAAGATGTAGAATAATATGTTAAAAACCTGGACACATCACAGTAATTATATTCATATTAAGTTCTGCCTCTGCGTGTGACACAAACATGACGAAATGGAACTGGCAGCCCTTTTGCGCGGACAAGGTTCGCACGTCGGTATTCAGTCATCCTGATTTCCATACAAGTAACACCAGTATGAAGATACAACATCATCACCACCGCCATCATCAACAGCAGAACATCAGCATCATCATCAACAGCAGCACATCAGGCAATTGAACTGCTGCTTAACTAACGTACAACCACAATGACCTACGGAACGAAAAGTAATAAGAGACAGAATGGACTTAACGGAAAACCCTGAAGCTAAAATAAAATGAAGTTTTCTTCAAAAATTTTCTGATGCTCTGTTAGTCGCACAGGGTAATAAATGACGCCCTATCTGCTGCATCGAGCAGGGTGGACAGGGATTTGGATGCTAGTGCGCAAGCCTTCTCGACTTTTTATTCACCCAATTAGCAGTTTTCACCCTTATAGTCCGGTACCAAATTCACGATTGACTCACCTGTTTACAACCCCCAAATTCGCGGCACTCCCCAGACATGCTTCGCTAGGCGTTTATCTCCTAGGTTCAACTTACTTGCAACCGCAGACCGTCAATCCTGCCCTGTTAACAAACCCATCATCATTACACGTTAGCTGGAGGTGGAAAACACCTCAGCTATTGTGCCGCAATACAAAAGACAAGAAAAGGAAAACAAACAGTGGCACGCCGGCTGAGTCTCCAGTAACGGATGGACATCGTTCCGCAAAGCTAACAGCTGGCTACCGTAAAAGAGTCAAATTATGCCTAACAAGTGAGATCATGACTGGAGGGGGATGCTTAGCAGGAAGGGGATGGCCAAAGGAACTCACAACATAAACGCCATTGGGGCCGGCTCCAAGCCATATCATCAAGTGTGCGCAACCAAACGTGTTCGCCATCCTTAGGACCCCAGCCCGGCAGTCGGGATGCACCAACCAATGCCAACTTCAAAGTGAGGGTTTTCATTTCTCTCGACCAAGTCATTGCCTTCCCTCCTCCTCTTCCAACCGCACCCACAACGCGCAAACAATGCACGTCGCGGAAGTCGGTGTGTTGGCATGCGCAACACGTGGCCCAGCCATCGGAGCCTGGTGCGTGATATAATGATGCTGAGCGGTTCACTCGCTCTTCCTGCACCAAATACACGAGGTCGAACACGCACATTGCTCACGCGGTGCTCCCACCAGACATGAGCTAAGCTGCGAAGGCAGCGATGATCGAATATGACGAGTCTCTTTATGTCTGTCGACCTGATTGGCCAGGTTTCACAGTCATATAGGAGAGTTGAACGGACGGCTGCGTTGTAAACTCTGCCCTTCAGGGCGAGAGTAATGTCGCGTCTGCGCCACAGGTGGCGGAGATTGGCAAAAGCACCTCGAGCTTTTGCTATACAGTTCGTAACCTCATTTTCAATCCCGCGGATGCTAATATAGCTGCCCAGGTACTTGAATTTCTGAACGACTTCTAGCAGATCACCACCAAGCGTTAGCGCAGGGTTGGGTTCCTGGCAATCTTGGAGAAGTACTTTGCATTTCGATGGAGTAAAGCGTAGCCCAAAGCGATTGACAGCCAGTTCTAATCGGTCCAGTGCTGTTTGGCATGTTTGGGCGCTGTCACAGATTAGGGCAATATCGTCCGCATACTCTAAGTCAAGAAGTCGCCCACCAGGAAGTAGCTCCACACCTTCTAGGTCGTGTCCAGCGAACGCTGTTTCCATGACTTCATCAATGTCGAAGTTGAAGAGGAAAGGTAACAGCGGGCATCCTTGTCTCACGCCGCTGGTGATACTGAAGGGTGGCGACAGTTTGCCATAAACCCTCACTCTGCCCGAACTATGTGCGTACAGCGTTTTGATAATGTTTACATATTCATCAGGCACACCTTTCCTCAACAGGCAGTCCCAAAGGGCACATCGATAGACTGAGTCGAAGGCACCTTTTATGTCAAGAAACACGATAATGATGGGTTACCAATAAGCATGGCGGTGCTCAAACACTTGACGCAAGGTGAAGATGTGGTCGATGTAGCCCCGACCTCGACGAAATCCGACTTGCTCTTCACGGATCTGGCTTTCACGAGTGCCAGTCAGTCTGTGGAGAATGACAGAGGCAAGCAATATAGAGGCAATCGAAATCAGACTGATCCCTCTATGATTGCCGCATTCCAAACGGGAGTTTCCCTTGAAAATTGGGACAATGACGGAGCGGTCCCAGTGTGTCGGGACTGTCTCCTGCTCCCAAAGTTTTACTAGCAACTCGTGTAAATCATCTACTAGAGCAGGTCCCCGAATTTGAAGAGGGCTGGGGGAATTCTATCTGCCCCTGCGGCCTTATGCAATTTCAACAGCCGGATCTCACGTTCGACTTCTGCGCGTGAGGGCGGATCCAAGGAGACTGCCCAGGGAGAAGGGTGCTTAATGCCCGAAGAAGAAAGCGATGACTCAGGTTGGTTAAATTGCCTTGCAAAGTGTTCAGCCTAACGCTTCAAGCGTTTTGACAGGCTGTGGATCGGCTGCCCACTATCGTCGCGTATGGTCTCGTTAACACCAGGTCTCCTGCTGCCTGTTTCCCGTATCAGACGGAATAACTTACGATGATTACCAACGGCAGCGGCTGTTTCCATCTCAGAGGCACGATGAGACCACCAGGTTTCGCGGTCCTTCTTCAGGCTAGCACGTAGTTTTGCCCTGAGATTTTTGCTTGCCTCATTGTGTTCGCTTCCAGCCGGAATACGTCGGCGAGCATCCATAAGTTTCAGAGACTGTGTAGAGACCCAATGTCCGGTTGGGCAATTTGCTTTGCCACATGAAGACATGCCTGCTAATAGCAACGCTTGACGAGTATGCGACCAGTGATCTTCAACGGTGTTTAGTGGGCGCTTACTCAGCCCAGATGTCAGCGCATCTTGGTACACATTCAGAACATCTGGCTTCGCCAGCTGGCTGGTGTCAATCCTTTCACATCGACGTTGCGGACGTCCACCGAAACGCACCAGGAGGTCGGCACAGACAAGTGCGTGGTCAGAGTCCACGCTCGTGCGCCAAATCAAGCGACAGTTTTGGACACAGCCTCTCCAGCGGTAACTGATCGCGATATGATCGATTTGCGTCCATAGCTGGCCCGAGGCTAGTGGCCGCCAAGTCACGCTTCTGCTGGAGCTGTGTCGAAAGTTAGTGCTCGCGAAAAAGAGGCGAGCATCTTCACATAGCTGTAGCAATCGCTCACCATTATCATTACGGGAGCCTACACCATGTTGGAAGCCCAGATGAAGCTCATCAGAGGACAATTTTCCGACTTGGGCGTTTAGATCGCCAGCCAACACCACAGTATCCGTGCTTCTTCTGTAACGAAAGTGCTCGTGAAGTTGCTGATAGAAATCATATTTTACCGAATCAGTGCTACAGTTTGTAGGGGCGTAGGCCGCAATGACAAACAGGCACCGTTTATCCCCGCGCGACTTCGTAGCACGGAACGAAGCAGCTAATCTAACGGCGCACATTCTACTGTTTACTGGGATCCAATCTATCAGGGCAGCTTCAGCCCGAGGACTCAAAACAATGCCGACGCCAGCTTGACCGGCATTTGAATTTACATCATCGCCAGACAGGCGCAATGAGAATGTGCCGCCAGTGTCGCATGTGTGGGATCGCAGGGTAAGCACGGAGCTCGAACC